GATGCGGTGGTACTAACATTGATTAGTGATTGGGTGAATTTAACAAATGTAGAAATACTCCATTTGGAAGGCTGGGATTTACTTTTTGGATGGCATGCCTATTTAGTTTTTAATAAAAAAATGGACCAGGTTTTTAAATCTCATATTATAAGAATTTCTTTGCTTAGGGTATGGAGGAAATATTATAGAAGTGATTTTAAAATACCATTATGGTCCATACCTTGGCATGCGATAGAGGGAATAAAGAAAGGAGTCAAGATGGATACGGTTTCTTATATACAATTACTTAGATGGGATGGTCAAAATTGGCAGTTAAAATCTTTGGAAGATTTAACACATGAAAATTTTACTTATTCATGGTTTCAATATAGACAAATAGTGGATAGATGGAAGACGGATTGTAATATGGGATGGCTTAGAGAAGATGAAAATCTCATCAAACAAGTAAGGGATCAAAGACCAACCCATATCAAGAGGGTTTATGGGGTTTTAGTGGAAATGGATTCAGAATCTGAATTAATTAAAGATTGTATGATTAAATGGGCACAAAATATCGGTGAATCAATTTCACTGGATACTTGGGAACTTATTTGGGTGAGGAATGTTAAATTCACACAAGCACAGAACTTAAGAGAGAATTTTTATAAAATGTTTTATAGATGGCACCTTGATCCAAAGAAAATGTCCATTATGTACCCTGATCTACAGCCTAAATGTTGGAGATGTGGTTGTTTGGACGCTACTTATTTTCATATTTGGTGGTCGTGTAAAAGTATAAAAGCCTTTTGGATTAAGATGTGGTGGAATATTCAAAGAATTTTTAGAAGGAGGGTAAAATTTACCCCACAATTATTTTTATTAGGTATTATTACTGACTGTGATGCTAAGGAAGTTATACTGATGCTAAATTTGATCACAGCCGCTAGGCTGTTAGTTGGACAATATTGGAAGAAGGATTCTTTGCCTACTTTACAAGAGTGGTTTTATAAAGTTTCGTATTTGGCAGAAATGGCAAAGATTACGGCTTTTTTAAAGGAGCAATCTCAAGAGAAATTTTTTGTTGTATGGGAAAAATGGATAAATTTTATTTAACACAATTTGAATATGGAAAAATATTATTTAGCTTTTTCATAATTTGTATTGATTGCTTTTTTTTCTCTTTTTCTTTTGTTTCCGTCTTATGAACTTTTTTTATTTTTTTTTATTTTTTTCCTTCTTTTTCTCTCTCTTTCCTTTTTCTTTTTTCTCTCTTTTTTAAGTATTTTTTCTTCTTTTTTTTCTTAATGCTTATATCATATATATATTATTATTAATTATTTTATAAGTTGTAAATGTTGTTTAAGTTTTTTTAAAAAAAAAAATTAAATAAGCCTATATTCAGTTCTGGGAAGTTCGGGGAGGGGGGAGGGAGGGGTGGGTTTGGGAGGGATTGGGTGAGGGTTGTTGTTTATTTGTAAAACTTTTAAAAAATTTTCAATAAAAAAAAAGAAGTAAATCGAATAAAGTGTCTTTATGTGAGGCTTTTGTCTTTCCATGTTTCTTGAAAATGTTTTTCTCTTTCTCCTTCTTTGCTTCTGTTATCACTTCCTTTCTCTCTGATGTTTTCAACATCTCTATATCCCATTTTATCCAATCTGTTTTTTTGTCCTCAGATTTGTTTTGCAGTCTTAAGGGATGAATTGGTTTTTCCATTTCTTTTAAATGTTTCCCCACTAGGATTAAATTATGTTTTCTTGCTTTGTTAAATTCCGTCTTTGAGTTTCTACTTTCAGTTTTATGTCCACTTATTTGTTTTGTCTGCTCCTTCTCTGTTGTTGTTTCCTGTAAATTTTTTTGTTGTAAAGTTAACTTAGAGATAGATTGATTTGTATTTTCAAAATTATTTTGGATTTCTTTGTGATTTGAACTCAGTGTTATTTGAATTAATTGCAGTATACTATATATCTCCCCCTAAGAATTTATGTTTTCTTGGTGTGCTCTGTCTATATGTCTCTGATCCATGATGGCCAAAAGTTGGAGTTTTCCTTCTTATCTGCAAATTGCTTTAGAGTCCCGGTTAAATAGATATTTGTAATCCAAAGAGTTAAAAAAAGTTTTTTTTCTAAAATTTATAATTCTCTCTTTGTCTACAGCCCATATTGTTGTCTTTTTTGTCACAGCTGTTCTTTATTATTAAAGCTTTGAAGGTCACAAACACAGATTAGCTTTTCCCAGGTTTTGGCAAGTTCTCTATGGAAATCATAGCTGTCCTAATCTTCATCCACCACTAGGTGTTAACATCTATTTAGTTTTCAATATGAACAATGGTCTTTAAAATGAAAGTCTTAACCATTCAACAATTTTAAACTTGTCCAAAGTTAAATTTTAGCTTTCAAGGTTATAAATTTATTTCACTACCATATATTTTGATCCTCCATAGAAATTTTAATTTGCCGCTTCCATTAGTATAAGGATGGGGTGAAAATCCCCCTCCTTCACTTTCAGAGGTATTTTGCTTCTTGGGGATCTTTTCCAGGAAATTAAGTGTAGAATAGAAAAGGGAAAATCAGATTCCTCACCCAGTTTCAAGCATGCTGTTTATTGTAGTGCTGGTTAGTTCTTTTGGACTCCGGTTGCAAGTAGTTTGGGCTGATCAATGAAATACAGCCTTTCTCCTGTTGGGTTAGAAGGCTTTCCCCAAGACAAACGGAATGACTGCCATCATTCCAGAGTCACTGAGGCACCCTTATTTCTTCGCTGCCTTTCCAGGGTGGTTTGGACCCATTAGAGTCTCCAGGCAGGATGACAGTTGGGCGCGGGGGTGCAGCAATCCACAAGCCCACAACCAGTCACTACCGTACAGGACCGGAAGTCCATTTTTCTTTCTTCATTAGGAGTAGGCAACATATGTACATAAAGACACAACATTCAGCTCAGTCACACTTTTATTCAGCCAAGGGCTTCAACAGAATAGATGATATTCAGCAAAATATGTTTGTTTTGTACCACTTAGGCCATTTAGTGGAAGAGGTTGTTCCCTTGCAAAAATAAAGTAAGACCTGCTGTTCACTGTTTTTCAGCTCAGCCAAAAAATGTTTCATCTTGAGATGCATTGGTTGACATGACAAACATGCATTTGCCTCTGTCCCCAGCTGATCCTACAGCTTTCTATGTGGAATAAATACCTTTAAAAATCAAAATTTTTGTTAGCAGACTATAGCCATATTCAAGTCCCAAAATGCGTAACTGTAAGAATTTATAGTTTGGCTTATTTATCTAATTTACCCCAGTCTGTAAATTTGTAAATCTTCAACTGCCACTGAAATGGACATCTTGCCCGATAAGTGAATCAAAATCGGGAGAGAAGTTGAATCCAAATTGAAAAATACTGTTCAATTTCTCATGCTCGAGCTTTGTACTGAAAAGTACAACCTCCTTGGATGAACAATATTATACATTAACAGTGCATTTAAATAGCAGCCTTTAAGCACAGAACCGTATCTGTGTGCTTGTAGGTGTGAATGTGTATGATGATTTTGTTTTAAAAGTGAACAGTGCATGTGTGCCCAGATCAAAATAATTGAAGTTCCATAATGCTGGGGAGGGGGGGAGGGAGGAAAGAGAGAGGAGTTTCTTCTTCATGAAAGCATGATAAATAATTAATCAATGCAACCATGTGGCAGCTTGAAATGCAAATGTGATGGATGAAGATACAGCGCTTGCCATCAAGAAGAAAATGATGTGACTAAAATATACAACCTGTTCTACCTGCTGATTAGAAAAAGCTTGGACATGGGGGTAAAACAGAGCCAGACAAGAGCCTCCTTGACCACCCCTAATACCTGCCTTTGACCTGCCATTTGCTTTCATCTCCTGTCCCGAAACAACTCTTGCTTTAAAAAATGATGAAAGGAGAAATTACTGTACGAAGGAAAAAAGAGAACACAATCTGAAGAAAATTTCCTTCTAGGTTGCAGGCTGCTGGAGAAAAGTCTCTCTTTAAAGCCTCTTTTCCTTTTTTGGGTCCTTCATTATTATTAATTTGCAGCCTTTTCCTTGCTACCCACATTCTCTAGAATCATTCCCACAAATAGTTTCATGACTCAGGGGGTGACAACATCAACTTTCGAAAGAACAAAGGCAGGAGGATGGCACCCGGTGTGCACATAGTTAAGCAAGGGAGAAGTATTTTTTACTTATCAAACTTAGCTATCAGCAGGATCTTTTTATACAGCAGGTATGAAGGGGAATTAAGCTAGTAAGGCATTGATCTGCACTGCAGAGACATAAAGTTTAAAGCTCAGATCTTCCACAACACAGTTTGCTTGGAAGAGTCTATTGGAGTAGGAAGAACAATCTCAAGATGGGCTGAATGGGAAGGCACTGAGTCAATGTGTTCTCCCAAAGCTGCTGAAGCTGATTGAGTCTTGGCAGCCTCCATTAGAAATGTTTATTGACTAGTTGAGGGCAGGAATGTTTAAGGGCAACCCTGGCCATTCATGAAGATTCATAAGTTCACAGGGACTGATTTGTACTGCTAGTTCTTGAATACCTGAATGATCAGCGGCAGTTTACAAGGCTAGTTCCTAATCTCTTCTGAATATAGTGGATATGTATTTTACTTGGTCATCTTCTAACAGGAGTGGAGAAATGGTGCCCTCCAAGTATTGCCGAATTACAATCTGTACTACTAGCTACACTAAAGGGGCTTACTGGAAATGGTGGGTTAGCAACATCTGAATGAACACAGGTTGTCCATTGTCTGCTTGTAGTGCATGCAGTTCTAATCTATTTAATATCAAGAATTATTAGAATAATAGAATAAAAGACTTGGAAGGGACCTTGGAGATTTTCTAGTCCTATCCCCTCCTATACCATTTCAGGCAAATGGCTGTCCAATCTCTTCTTAAAAACCGGCAGTGTTGGAGCACTCACAATTTCTGAATGCAAGCTGTTCTATTGATGAATTGTTCTAACTGTCCAGAAATTTCTCCTTATTTCTACATTGGTTCTTTCGCTGATTAGTTTCCATCTATTGCTTTTTGTTTTGCCTTCAGTCTAGAGAGGTGACAAAAACTGTTATTTGTTCATTCATATATCACCAAGATTTACATGAAGATATGATATTCTGTAGCAAAGATGTATAATGTTTGTAAAATCTGAAAGAAGACAAATGTTTTTTTACAGAAATGTATTTACTTTCACCCATTACTGATGCTATGTATAATATATCACATTTTACTGTGACAAAGTATCTCTACATCCAAAATATGACCTCTTACAAAATCAGATATACAAATATTCTTTAAGGATAACAAAATGTACAGATAAGACTTTTCATACAATATCAGAATAAGATTCCTTTACTCTTTCTTGTAGTGCCTACAACTGTATTTTTAAAAAAAATAGGTTATGGCATATTATATTTTTTGTGTTTTGACAATTAATTCCTCCCACTAAAATAAAGTACATGATGGAAGTAAAAAATCCAAACTTCCATGGTTTTGATGTTGAAGTTTCTCCCATTACATTGCAATAAAATATTTAAAACTACAACATTGAATACAGCTATTTCTGTAAAAAAAAATATTAAGTGAGCCTTTCTACTTCAAAATTAGTTTAATCTAATTTAATCTAAATAAAATGTGCGGAACCACCATACACAACTTTGAACTGAACCTACAATACCTGGAAGTCGTGTTCTCTAATATGGAACCATGTGTCTGGCCTTGGTCAAACAACAGCCAGCATTGGAATTCTGGGAATTGAAATCCATACCTCTTAAAGTTGTTGAGGTTGAAAAAGACTGGTGTAAATGATACCAAGAATGGTTACAAATGGTTCAAATGAAATCAAGAAATAAATGAGCATGTAAAATGATAGAAAAGTTTGGTTCAATATAGACAAAACTTATAGTTGCACTTTTCAAAAGCCCATGAAAAGCATAAAATACTGAAAAATAAAGGAGCAGAACTGCTGACAGTAATATCAGACTCAGAAAATGAGATTGATCCACTAATATTTCATCTAACAAAATGTACATTGAGAGTTGATGTTTTTCTCCCTTTCTTCAACTGTGTATTTATACACTAATAAATGTACCATCTTTTCCTTTTTGACTTTTATGAGGAATATATATGTATAATATATGTGTATACACATACACTCACTCACACAGAGAGACACATACACAATATATAATGTGGCATTTTTGTCCACCTCTCGAGTCCTTCCCAAGGACCGAAGATGTGGATGTTTGATGGGCTTAAAGATATCATGGCACGGTGTAAGTTATTCCAAACAAAGCTGTCTTTTGCAATTGACTGATGGTGATTTTTATTAATGCCAATGGTGTTCAAGTGGTGCTCCAATTGTTTTGGGAATGCACTCAAGGCAGCTCTTAGTATTGGTACTACCTTTGCTTTCTTTTGCCACAGTCATTCTATTTCTACTTGCAGGTCTTTGTATTATCTTCTCCAGTTCTTTCTTTTCTATTCTGCTGTCTCCAAGTCCTGCCACATCTACCATCCAGACTTTTTTATTTTTCTTATCAACAATTGTTAAGTCTGGGGTGTTATGTGGCAGGTGCTGTTGGTTTGAATTGATGTCACAGACCATTTTAAGTACTTCATTTTCTATTACTTTTATTATCATGGTTATTATGGTTTGTCACACAGTCATCCAAATGTTTAGACTGGATTTGGCACTTTTACCCACCTTCCCAAGGTACCTGGGATAGGCAGATATTATTGTTTGATGGTGTTAAAGGTATTGGCGCAAATTATAAGCTGTTCCAAATAAAGCTGCCAATTATTATTTCCTTACTATTATTTTCTTCAAGGCCATCAAAGCAGAGGCTCAATAGGGTTGGAAGAAATAAGACACTGGATTTTTATTTCAATTTTTCTGAGTGTGTATTAGATACCAGGTTCATATCCTTCAGGACTGTTAATTGCATTGGGATATTTGTAGAACTCAGAGAGTACAAACTCCTGATCACTCTGAATTAAAAGTTAAAATATCTGTTTGCAGATATAGTTTAAAATCATGTAGCAAGAAGCAAGTTTTATTCTACTAGAGAACAAACCACAACCTTGTTATATTTAGTAAACTCAATATTTGGTAAAATAAGGATTATTGGATGTAGTAAATTATACTGATTGCATGAAATTTAAATATTGGTTCTGACTTTACTATCACAAAGTGATTTATGAATGGATCACAGAATCACATCCTAAAATGTTTACATTTCAGTAGTTTATCAAGACCTTTCTATGTAGTTTCTATTGCAATAATAAAGTACTTCATTCATTAATCACGTAATATTTTATTCCCAAAATAGTTTTAAATTTTATTTACTTTTAAGTATTGTATATTTTATTATTCTACCACTGGTTTGTGTTTGTGTTTGATCAATTTTATTTCAACTGATTTATCAATGTGTGTGTGTGTGTGTGTGTGTGTGTGTGCATGCGTGCGTGCGGACTCGTGTATTTGTCTGAGCCTTGTAATCTTCTCACAAAACCAAGTACTGGTCAGCAATCTTAAAAGAGATGTTTGTTGATTAAATATCCATTTCTGCTTTTTTATGTAGGTTATCACACACATCAAGATTTGGCAATGACAATGATCACTCTAGCTCTCTTCCCTGTTGTTTTGTCCACATTTAGAAGCAAATGAATTCCAGCTAGTCATCTCAGAGATTCCACTGATACTTCACATCTCATCTGTTCAAAGAAAATCACCATATATATCTGTCTGGAAAAAAGAGATAGGATAAAGACACTTTTAAAAGAGTATCTTTTACTAATAAACTAGTGGAGCTTCTTCTCAGACTCCACTGGTTTATTAGACCAGTCTATACTTAAGTACATATAATGCAATTTAAAACACTTAAAAAGCCAAACCATTTTACTTTTTTGTGGAAATATATAGCCATGGCATCATGTGAACTGTAATTTTATTGCAATACTATAAAAATAACATGTCAGTGTAAAGATCTTTGGAATAGGGAAAACTGCTTTGATTGAAAATTAGTACCTGTTTCTATAACACTGTGTTTCACAAGTTTTATCAGTTTTTTTCATTGTTATTTTGCTGTAGCCCTAGGTATCAAATGACGACTTTTAGGTCTCAACAGTCAACCTCTTTAAGCTACTGAAAAGCCATGTTACTGTAGTTTTGTAGCTTTCTTCCTTCCTTCCTTCCTCCCTTCCTTCCTTCCTTCCTTCCTTCCTTCCTTTCTTTCTTTCTTTCTTTCTTTTATTTAATCTTTCTGAAGGAGGATGTTTTGCTTTGCAGGGAGATTTCAATGTGTGTTGTTGCAAAACAATCTGCACTGCCAAAAACAACAAGATAAAAAGATTTTCTGTATTTCTCAAGGAGAACCTCAAAGGTTTGAAAACATTTCTTTTTTAAAATGTTGTTACTTTATTTTGACATTGATTATAGAGTTTGACATGCATTTGTACCCTCACTATTATGGCAACTGTATTTAATGAGTTGAAAAGATCAGTTAAAATATCCTACAAGCCAGTTCACCCATGTCAACTAAAGACAAAAGAGAAGACAACGTGAATAGGAGGAAAATAAACCCAAGCTGAGTAGTTCATGTATCTGAAATATGATGAGAAACTGATGTCCTCCATTATACTTGGACTCTTTCAAAGTACTATTTTGGTCACATAGGATTTAAGCCTTTACCTGAGTCAAGCCTGAATGTGAGCTTATTAAACTGTATTTTCTTAGCTTCATGTCGTAATAATAGGTCACTGTTACAGATGGTTTATAGCAGTTCCCCTGGAATTAAAAAAGAAAAGAAAAGAAAAAGAGAAATCAGACTCTGTCTTTTCTATAAAACTAAACACCAAGACATTTCTGAATATTTATTTGATTGGTTGTTCATTAGATCACAATCTTGGCTTGAGGCAATGTATGATTTTATAGCCTTTTATCTCATAATAAATTGGGAAGGGAGGGAGGTTCATCTTAGGAAATTCTGATCATTCCAAGAGATCTCATAATGAAATGGGACCACAAACATCAATCCATCCACCCCTACCTTGAAGCTTCAACCAAACTTTCTGGATTTGATGTTTCCTCTAGCCAGCATAGTTTTTGCAAGATATAGTGCAGCAAATTCTGAAGTTGGGGAAATTTTCTTTAGCCAGTGCCCCATGGTAGTTTCATTTTTCTCATTCCCTTGGTTAAGGATGCAGGGAATAAAAAAAAATCAAGATAGGAACTGTACCTGCACAATGGAAGCCCTATTCCTCTCTTTTGTGTTGCACCCACAAGTCACATGTATTTATTTATTAGATTTATATGCCCCCACATCTCACTCTGCAAAGCAACTCTGGGCAGCTTACATTTAAAATAATAAATATAAAAAACATTATCCTATAAAAGAGGATTGATCCTGCAATCTTAATTTTTTTATTCCTCCCTATGGGCTATGACCATTAGAAATTGAATATTTGGGGTTTTACCCTAAGAAGCCCCTGTCTATAAATCATAATGGCAACTGTGTTTTTTCCCAAGCTTGCAAATCTGCTTTGAATGTTTTTCCTGGGTTTTCTCTCCAGCAAATCAAAATAGTTGTGCATACGCCTATTTGCAAATACAACTGGGAAGATCTTCTGAAGTAGCCATAGAGGAAAATGGCATGGCTATTAGAAGAAAGACTAATCACATGCACACTGCTGGATTCCACTTTCAGTGGATTTGCGTGATCCTAACCTTCTATGCAAAACAGCGGATATTTATATCAGAAAGTCTAAGGGCTGGATTCCCAATGTGGCAGCCAAGATGCCAGTGTTCCCACAGATGCTACCATTGCTCTACTCCCAGTTTCCTGCTCCAAATAACTTTTTTACAATTTTAAATTTCATTAACTTGTAACTGTCATTAACATTTAACTTTCATTATTTTTTAAATGGGAAGTTGGCATACCAATGGGATTGGTCCGCTCTACCCATGTCAGCAGAGGAGTGATGTTGCAGGTCCCATTCAGTCCAGGCCAAGAGCCTTCTCTGCCATTACTCCTGCCCTTTGGAACATCTTGCCCCTGGAGTGAGGTCAGCTCCAGCCCTTCTGACCTTCTGCAAGAGTTTAAAGACCTGGCTCTGCCAATTGGCTTGGGGCTCTAATAGAGGGGCTTCCTGTTGGGGCTGGTTCAGTGATAGGGTTCAGCCAGTTCACACTTGTTTGGTAGAACTGTTACCTATTTTCTCTTGAGTTCGGTGAACCAGTTGTTAAAATGGCACTTGAAAAAAGTGGAGTTTGTGTGCACACCTGCCTCGCAATCACCCTGTGTCCACCATGCTCTCCACAGTGCACTGCAGCTGGTCCGAGGTGTGGAGAGCATGGCTGATGGGTGAGTGTGTAGCAGGCACACACGCACACACTCCTCTATTTCAGGTGTGCTTCAGTGCCTGGCCAGCCACCTCAGGTCAGCTACAGTGCACCATGGAGAGCATGGCGGACATTTATTTATTTATTTATTTATTTATTTATTTATTTATTTATGAGACTTATATACCGCTTTAAGTGCAAGCACTCTCTAAGCGGTGTACACCAGTAAGCAATGTGTGTGTATATATATATATATATATATATATATATATATATATATATACATATTTACCCCCAACAATCTGGGTCCTCATTTTACCTACCTCGGAAGGGTGGAAGGCTGAGTCAACCTTGAGCCGGTGAGATTTGAACCGCTGACCTGCTGAACACAGTCAGCTAAAGTGGCCTGCAGTACTGCACTCTAACGTGGCAGGTGCACACACAAACTCTGCTTTTTTGGGTGCCCTCCCAAGAGGTGGCATGGTGATTGGTTGGTGGATGCACCACGAATGGGGATTTCACTATCCCCCAAACCCTGCCACTGCAACTCCCCCATTTTAGCCATGGAGAGCATGGCCAACACAGGGCGTGCATGTGGCAGGCAGGCACATGGACTGCACTGCTTTTGGCACCTCTTCTCACTTGGGCACTTTTCCTCTTTCTTCTCCCTGCTCCTCTTTCTCTCATGCTGGCTGCTCCACTTCCAGTCTCTCCACTGCAGCCCAGAGTCCACTTTGGCAAACTTCTTTTGTTTGTGGAACAAGATTAGTATAGAAATGCTTTGGGAAGGGAGGGCATCAGGGCAGTGGTGGGTGGGGCAAGCTGTCCAGCTCTGATGTGTTCCTCGGTGCTGTGGGCAGTCCCACAAACAAAAGAAGTTTATGGGGCTTCTGGTTTTGCACAGTAGCACAGCAGCCAAGGGATCATGGGGCTCCTCACCCTACAGCTAATTTCTGCCTGCTAGGGGACCCTAAATTGACCTGAAGTTGCCCCATAGAGTCAACAAAGAAGGAAGAAAGTCCCGGCGATTGCAGAGAGATGGCAGTCGATCCAATCGGTTTGGGAAAAGCCCTCCAGAAACCAGCAGGAGAAAGACTAGCTTAACTTCAGAGTCTCGCCCAAGCTACAAGCAGCCGAAGCCCAAAAGCACTACTTTAAGCTGACTGTAAACAACATGTTTGGAACTGGGTAAGAACAGTGATTCTTCTACTGCAAAATTGATTTCCTGGAAAAAAAGAAAAGAAAAACCCCAAGAAGCAAAAAGCCTCCAAAGGTGAAAGGGGGGGGGTCTTTGCCCCACCCTCCTACAGATAGAAGCAGTGAATTAAACTTTTCAGGGGGAATAGAAATATACTGAAATGAAATGAATGTAAGATTTAATTTGGATAAGTTTGAAATTGGTGGAATCTGTTAAGACTTTCCCTTTAAATCATGAAAATAGAAGTAAACAATTGTCTATTACTGTCTGGTGCTGACATCTAGAGGTGGATGAAAATATACAACAGTAGTTATTACAGGGACTGGCAAAGCTTAGGAAAAGAAAATTTGGTTTTGGTGACTTTCAATGTCTTAATAACAGAAAAGAGCTGTGACAAAAAAGAAAGAAAACATTTTGGGCTATCTACAAAGTGAGAATTATAAACTCAAAAAAAAAAAAAAGAAAAAAGAATTGACCTTTCTGGATTATAAATACCAACTCAACTGTGACTCTAAAGCTGTCTGCAGAGAAAGGAAAAACCTGATTTTTAGCTATCATGGAAAACCAGAGATCTGCAGAAAGAATATACCAAGAAAAAACAAATATTTTCCAGAAGGAGATCTATGCTACATTGCAACTAATCCAAATAACAATGATCTCAAACCATGCAGAAATTAAAAATAACTTTGAAAATATAAATGAACACATCTCCAATTTAATTTTACAACCCAAAAATTCTCAGAAAATAAAAATAGAGAGCGAGCAGAAAAAAACAGACAACTCAATACGAAACAGAAGAGAGAGATTCCAAGATGGAACTGAACAATAGAAGAAAGTATGACTTAACCCAGATGGAAAAAGACTTACAGGAAATACTGTACATGGAAAGGGTAACCTATACCTAAGATTACAAAATAAGTTTGAGAACAAGAAAAAAGATTTGACAAAATGGTTTCTGCCAGGAGAACTATGAGAACTTGAGAGGAAAACATTGATAAATAAAATCAAGAAAGGAAGGAAGGAAGGAAGGAAGGAAGGAAGGAAGGAAGGAAGGAAGGAAGGAAGGGAAGGGAAAGGAAAAGAAAGGAAAGGAAAGGAAAGGAAAGGAAAGGAAAGGATTCTCAATGAATACAAAGGGGTGAAACTTTCCTATAAAAACATCTTACCTGTTTTGCCTTTTGTACTTGCAACAACACTTTTAAAATTATGGAAAGATTCTTTGATTCAGCAAAGCATATTGATCAGAAAAGATATTTGGCAAAAAAAAAAAAAGGCTAAAGTGAGAATTAAGAAATTAGATGATGGCATTTACCAGAGGAAATATTTAAAAATTAAACATCTGTTTGAATATGGTTAAAGGAATAGAAAGATTTTGAATATAAATGAAGATTAGTTTAAGAGGGATGAATCCCTCAAGTAACATAGTATTTTTTCTTTCTTTTTTCCTTTGTGTTTTGTTTTTTGACATGAGTAATATAAAAACATTAGGATGGTTCATATAAAAGAAATGTTTTCTCTGTTTTTTTAAGATATGAGAATTGTAGAAGTGTTGGGATGGCCTGTATGAGAAAAAAGACTTAAATACTTAAGTGTAACTAATTTTGAGAAAATCTTAACCAATAAGAATGCTTTGAATATTGTGGGGGAAACAAATTTTAATAAGAATTCTGTAAACAGGATCTAAGACGAAGAATTAGAAAAAAAGCTTTATACTGATGTGGTTATTATTTGCAGAAACATGAGAAGAATGTCTATATTTGTCATTTATTTCAATAATAACTGTATTAATTTAAAGTTGGCAAAAGAGTATTATTGGAAGAAGAGAAAATCAAGCAAAGCTAATATGGAGTACAGAATTATAGAAATTAATTGTTATTGATTGTTTTTAATACTAGCCCAGACAACATGCTGTTTACCAAATATTAAGGTGATTATATTAAAAATCAATAAACATATTTATAAAAAAACAAGTTTGTGGGACAAAAAAATAGTTCAATCAATCAATTCCAACTTTGCAAGATCTTTTTTTTCACGAGAAGTGGGAATTGATTGGTTGAACTTTTTTTAAAAATCACACAAATTACTTTTGTTTGTGGGGCTGTACAGGGTGGTGGAGGAAGTGACAGAAAAGCTGGAAAAGTTAGAAAATAAATGATTTGGGAAGCAAGGGCATCTGGGCAGTGGCGGGTGAGGCAAGCTCTCCAGCTCCATGATGACAGAGAAAAGCAATGGAGCTGGAAAGCAGGCT